AAAAAAATATGTAAGTTTTTTTTCTTTTTCACTAAATTGTAATAATAAATGCATGCTAACAAAAGCAATTGCCGAAATCACTAAAAAACAACTCCATTTTGATTTTATTTTTTCACCATTGAAACTTGATTGTTAGTCGTTAAAAATCACGTTAGTACGTCACAACAACTTTAGAATATCTACTTCGATTTTCAAGTAAAAAAAAGTTGTGATTAAATAGTCAAGTTTTTTTAATTAGTTTTACAAAAACAGTATAATAGCATTTGGTTGAAAGACGTCGTTAAAAAAAAGTTATAAAGCAATAGTTTTAAATAGTTTAGAACTTATAAAAAAGTCTTAGAGGGCTTGTATTATGCGTATCGCGATTGCGATTGCTACACACACTTTTGTGATTAGTTTTTTCTTAAAAAAAATCTTTTCGCGACTTGTTTTTTTTTTGGTTGATTAATTACTTTTTTTCTAGCTTAGCATTTTTTTTAGCAATTCTTAAAAGTAATGTTTTTATCATAAAGAACGTCTCACAAAATTTATTATTCTGAATAGATAGATGAATAGATGATTTGCTCTTTCGCGCGGAGATTTTCTTTCAACGTAAAACATTTTTGAATTTAAATTACTTTAAATCTCTGCGTGGAAAATTTTTACAAGGTCGTTAAAATAAAAAGTTGAAAAGTTTGTTTTTATCTTTGTTTGTCAAAACTTCATGTTTAAAATAAGGCTTAAAAACGTTACAGCAAAAAAATTACTGACTTTTATTTGCATTTTTATACTGTTTGAAAAAAAAAACTAATAAAAAAGAATTATTTGTTATTATTATTAATTCTAATAATTATTAATTAATATATTAATTCTAATAATTATTAAATAATATATTGTAATTCTTTTTTATTAGTTTTTCAAACAGCTAATAAAAACCAGCAATTTTTTTACTTTAACGTTTTTAAGCTTTATTTTAAACATGAAGTATAATTCGATTTATTAAACCAAATTTTTTTGCTTCATCTTTTATTGAAAAACTTGAAATAGAAAAATTGAATAAAAACATCAACCATTTAAATGAAAAACTTAATTACATTTAAACTTTTATTAGTCATTTAACTAAAACATTTTACAATAATTATTTTTTTTATCAAGCAAAAATGAGAGTAACCGTCACTTTTGAAACCATAAAAATTACTGAAATAAATTTATTTTTCTACTAAGGTAATATTTTAAATAAACTTTCATGTGTCTAAGTCAATATTCATTTGTTTTAAACTGACTAAAAAGAGTTTATAATTTGACTTCTATTCATTTTTAGCCGTGGAATTGCCCTTATAACACAAATATATAAATTAAAATTATAAAAAAAATTTTAATATACAAATATATTTTTACAAAATGCTACAAAACTTATTCTTGTAAGTAATTATGTGTTAGTTGAAAAAAAACGACTTTACTTTTAAATTTAATTACCAACTAATAAGTTTGCAATAATGACATTTTGTCTACTTTGTTTAATTTGACGTACAAATGTTAGTTTTTTGAAGCAATAGAGTCAATAAACTTTGGACAAGACGCATTTTTTTTAGTCGAAGAAAAGCATTTTTTTGAAAATTAAATTTGTTAGTGTGTGTTCATTATTACATTTTAGAAAAAATAATATACATCAAACAGTTTTTTTTTTATGCTCTTTCATATGAGATCATATCTTTATAGCACTTAGGGATCCCTTTAATGCTTAACCAATAAGAATTAACAAATGGTTTTGTCCAGAGAGAACTGTTGTATTGCAATCATTACAATATTAGGTTGAGATCATGAATTTGCGCTGTTTTGGTTCATAATGGCAGGAAACAATTATAATTTAGCTTTTAGAAAATGTATTATAAAAGATTATAAAAAAAGAGTCAAATATTCTTCTCCATTCATAATTCAATTGTATTTTTAATAATCAAAAAATTTAAAAAAAGGCAATACTTTAAAAACAAAACATAAGGGTCGACGCAAAACATAATGTTTCACAGACCGAAAAATTATTCTTCAGGCCAAAAAATTCTTTTGACAGCGCTAATGATACCATTTAAAAACTTAAACTTTTAGTGTCTCAAAACACAACTTGCAGACAGTTACAACTTTCAAGACTTTTAGGCTTGAGAGCAGCAAAATAACCTTTTAATGAATTTTTTCATTTCTTCAAAGAACCAAAAAGAATTGAATTTGTAAATGCTCATAGAGACTAGACTATTAATTAATGGAAAAAAGTGTTGTGGAGCGATTCAAAGCAATTCAAAGCGAGCAAAGTTCAATTTGAAAGGTTTTGATGACAATTTAAAGGTACATAGACCTAAAGTGTACCTAAAGGTAAACAATTAGATTCTAAATACACAAAAGAAACTGTTAAGTATGATGGTGGAAAATGTGCAATGGTTTGGGGTTATTTTTCTGGTTTTAGCAGAGTTAAACCTATCCATTGAATAAATGGAAGTATGGATCAATTTGTTTATTATGAAATTCTCATAGAAAAAATGGTTCCTCATGCTGATAATAACATGGCTCTTTTATGGATATTTCAACAAGACAAAAACTTAAAGCTCTTAAAAACAATGGTTTAAAATGAATTAAATTAAAACTTTAAAGTGGCTAGCACAATTACCTGATCTCAATCAAATTAAAAATTTATAAAACCAAGTTGAACTTTCCTCAAAACACAAAGGACCTTTCAAAAAAAAATTTTTGAAAGGTCTCGTTACAAGAAATTACACTTCTTGTAATGAGGTTATATATATATAAATTCTATAATTACTTTTTAAAGAAAAAATATATATTTTTCTCTAAAAAGTAATTATATAATTTTTGTTTATTTGTATAATTATTATTAATTATAATTTAATGTAATAAATAATAGTAATTTGTTATTGGTTAAATGTAAATATTTTTAATTTAACAAATTATTGTTAAAGAACTTTTTAAATAAATTGTTTTTTGTTTTTTTTTGTTGTTGTTTTTCTAAAAAATATTTTGATTTTGATTTCATTAAAAGAATCTTAATAAATTGTTTTTATAGATTACGTCATCTCAAGATTCTAAATTAGACACAGGGTTAATTGATCCTAATTCAGAGATTTCTCGAGGAATTTACATTTATGGTTCAATTTTCATTTTATGTGCAATTGTTGTTGGATTTTCAACTGAAGTGGCATATGCAAGACTTAAGAAACCAAAACTTCAACCATATGGTAATTTTTTGTTTGTTTTTAGGAGAGAAATTAAGGAATTAAAATTATTTAATTAAAAATAGATATTGTTTTTTATTTTTATTTTTTGTTATAGTTTTTTAAAATGCATTTTTGGTTGCTTGGAATTTTAAATTTTAACAAATTTATAGATGCCAAAGAAGTCTTAGAAGTAAAGTTATCCAAGTTTGTGAGAAAATTTTGCAACTATTTATCTGTTCATATAGAAATGCAAATTGAAAAAGATGAAGCTGAGATAAAATCTTACTTCAGACAGAAAGGTTTTTAAATTATTTAAATTTAAATTTAAATTAGAAAGGTTTTAGAAAGGGATTTAAATGAACCTCTGCATTAGGGTTATTTAAAAGTAGGTCATGTTAAAAATTTAAAAGAGCCCTAGCTTATGATCTGCCCTGACCCTAAATTAGTACTTATAATTTAATTTTTTTTTTTTTTTTTTTGAATATTGGAAAGGTTCCCACAGAGAGCAAAAGGGTCGATTTTGCCAGTTTTTAGTAAAACCTTACCCTGCTTGAATTCTTAAATCTATTTTAACAAAATTAACTTAAATCTATTTTAAACAAAAAACTGTTCAATAACATGGCAATGAGTTCTACAACTTAAGTTTAAGAGGTTTTCATAAATATTCATTAAAGTAACTTTAAGAAAAATGACAAAACATTGATATTTTTATCAAAACAAAAAATATTTGCTTAAAAACAAAAAATATTTTTTTGAATACAATAAAAAAAAACTTTACCAATACATAACAAAAAGTAAAAATTTACAAAACGTGTTTCAAAAAAAACATATTAAATAATACTATTTAGTACAGCTTTAGCATGATCCAACATTATTTTTCTACTATTTCAATATTGCTTGTGAATATGATTAAAAATGTAACAAGTTATTGAACTAAATTGACTGTACTTCTGAACAAACATTCAAAACATCATGTTGTCTGTACCACAAGCTGTAGACGAGTTTAATTGAGATATGACTTTAGCAACAGAAGCCGGAGTGATTTGAATGTCTAACAATGGGTCAACCTGTTTGACTGGAATGGAAGGAAGAGAATGTCCATAAGATTCAAGAGTGGAATTAGAAGAAAAGTTCTTTGCAAATAGTTCTGCCTTATCCTTGGGAGAGGTAATAAGATCAGTCCCATGAATGAGAGATGGAATGTTAGATCTACCCTTGTTAATAATGCTGTTGAAGATTTTCCAAAAGTCTTTAGAGCCTAACTTCTGCGATAAGATGCAAGATTTAGTGAACTGAGAATAATGGAGTTTAGCATCAGAAAGAACCTTTTTACATCGATTTCTTGCAATAATAAATAGCAGTTTGTTCTCAAGAGAGTTGTTCTTTTGAAAAAGATGAAAAAAATGATTACGATTGGATATAGCAGCCACACAAGAAGGAGAAAACCATGGAGTAGAATGAGGCTTGACTTGAAACCGACGCGAAGGAATAAAAGCTTCCATTCCAGCCTGAATCCAGGAGGTTACGTAGGAGGCGCATCTGTCAGCTGAGAGAGAAAAAACATCAGCCCAAGGACCATCACGAAGAAAATCACGAAAGGAATCCCAGTCAGCTTTAGGATAGTAGTAGGTGGTGCGATGATAAGGTAAGCCCAAAAAAGAAGTACGAGAAGAAAGATTTATAGAGATCATTGCATGGTCAGAACTACCTAAGGGAAAAAAGGGAGAAACTGAACATAAGCTAGGGTCAGAGACAAGACTTAAGTCAAGAAGTGAAGGTAAATGATTAGGGTTGTCAGGAAAACGAGTCACAAAGTTAACTATCTGAGTAAGAGATTGAGAAACGCAGAAGTTAAAGGCTTTAGTGCCAGCAGGATCAGTGGTGTTAGAGCCAAGCCATTCAGTGTGATGGGCATTAAAATCACCAACAACAACAATATTGGCAGAGGGGTAAAGAGAGAGGGCATGGTCAATTTGATCAGAGATAACATCTAAAAGAGTCCAATCATGGGAAGAAGGAGAACAATAAAGAACAAAGAGAAAGGTGATAGAGTGAAGAGGTGCTAGGCAAAAGCATATAAAAGAATGGTCAAAGGATTCGAACCTGATTTCACAACAAATAGGGGAATTAATGTGTATGTATACCCCTAAACCTAGCATGTGACTATTTGAGTCTTTACGAATCAAAGGATAGTACCCATCAACACTGACATCTGAAGAAGGAATTGCAGAATTTAAATTTTTTTCACTGAGTGCAAGCAATTCTGGTGAATTTTGCAGGAGGTAAGACTCAACTGATGGAAAGTTGCTTCGTAGACCGCGAATATTTGTAAAAGATATATTAAAATATTTAGGTGGTGGGGATGGTTTTTTAGGTTTTAAAGTTTTGGTTACTTTGGTCATGATTTGGGTTTAATGAGAACTTGACTTATTCATAGATAGAGAACAGCCTCCTAATCAATGAGCTATGCAGTTGTCTCTGTCCTGTTAATTAATCCTAAGCCGTGACATAGGTCTCCTTATGTGGCCTTGACAATGCACACCAAAAGCATTAACAGGGACACCATCCATGCGCAACATGGCACTGTTAATACTCTGATATTTTGCAGCTGTTGATGGAATCAGCCTCTCTGAGAGCTACCACAGAGTTCGGGAAACCTTACTACCAGCCAGCCTCAGAACCATTAAACTGAGTTTTAGAGCTGTACCCTCATATGGAGATAACAGGAAGAGTTGCATAGCCATTATCAAGGAGGCATAAGCAAAATTCTATGAGTAGAGTCAAGGAGATCCAGCATTCATCATCCTAGGCAGGAAACAATGTAACACAGGTTACATCTACGCCAGCCTAATACACCATTGGCCATAAATTAGAGCTCGCTTTTGTTTTTGTTTTATAATCCTGTTTGATTTAAATTATTTTAAAAACTATTATATTTTTTCAAAAATTTATTAGTACTAATTAATAAGTATTATATTTACTGTTTATTTGACATGTTGTTTCCTTAAAATTTATTTTGTACGCCTAATTATATATAATTTTTTCAAATTATAGAGATCCTTAAACCAAATTTGAAGATCTAATAGTCTAATATCTAATAATGAAATGTTTTTTAAAATTATGGTTTCCTAATGACAGGTTTAAAAAATTAAATTTTTTATATCCAGTGGTACCTATGAAAAATAGATAAGCTTTAAGAAAGTCACCCAATTTAAACCTGATTACGCTCTAGGTCCTATATAAAATTTCATTGTTATCAGAGGTTCTATAAAAAATCCTAATATTTGAATAATATCATTATTAGAGGTTCTATAAAAAGCATCTTAGGTACTTGTTTACATTGTAATAAAAATAAAACAAACAAAAAAATAAGACTGAAAAATAAACTTTTTTATTTATTAATTTAACAATGAATTTCTCAATTAACTGATCAATATTTTATGCCATTTAATGTTTTTAAAAAGATTTGTGGCTATGAAAAATTAATCACTTGAAAATTCAACAGTTTTTATCAAAAGATATTTCAGAGTAAGTCCATTTTCTGCATGGTATACGTGTCATACTCTCCTTCATTGACATTTTGATTGATTCATTAAGATTCAGATAGTTACCTGCAAATGGGTGAAATATATGTTTATTTTGAATAGTATTATCATTGAATTCAAAATCAAACAAGGAAGGATTATCTTTTCTTCTACCAATTGACCGTTGTTGTCCGAAGTAATTTTCTATAGGATCCTGACAAAACCTTTCATTTAATACATAGTTTACATTGTTATTAATTAAAAATTTGACAAGTTCAATAACAGAATTAACTGTGATTTTTATACCTTCATGGCCAAGTAAACATATAAACATATTGCTTCTTTCACATATTACTTCTATCACTTTTTGAAAAATGTGCAGGTCTTGATTCAATAGAAAAAAGCCAATAAGTGAGGTATTTTAAAAAATTTTCTTTTAGCCATGTAAATTGAACATCATTAGTATTAGAAAACAGTTTCAAAAATGAGTTGTGTTTTAATATGTAATCATTTGTATTACAAACATTTAAGCAATCAAAAAAATCATTAAAATATTTGCAAAACTGTGCAGTTTAGATTTCTAATGCAGTATTACATGAATTACATAAAACTTGTGCAGCTAAACGAACATTCATAGTTGAAAATGGATGTGCTCAACGGTTTCCACATATAATGTTTGATTCCACATATAACAGTTGCTTTTACCAGCTCCAGAATGAGAAAGGCTATTCCTTGCTGTTTTAATTAAATGAGGAACATCAGAAATAAAATATATAAACCTTTTATCGTCATCATCAGCAAATAAATTATCAGTGCGGTGATATAAGTCATATTGTGATATTGTGACTATGTCATAATATATGTCACAAGTGATATTATGACTTAAGTCACATCAACATGACCATTTCTCAGTCAGATTAAAATGCATTTTAAAAAATTTTCTATTCGATGATGCTCCATCACAAGTAACTGCTATTACTTTTAAACTAACTGAGATTTCTAAAATGCCTACAGCTTTCCAAAATATAGAAAATAATTGCACTGATGTAATATTTATAGTGGCAAAGTTTGTAAAACTGTATTTGAAAGGATTTACCATACCTCTTATTAGAAAACTAATACATTAGAAGCAAGTTTGCCAGCCTGTTGCAATGTTGCAAAATTAACAACATTTTATTTTTGTTTATGGAGGCCTTTTTATGGGCCAGAGCCTAAAAATAACTAAAAAAAAAAGAAAAGGTCATCTCAAATTTTTGGGCGCCCCTAAGTTTGCGAAACATGGGGCTATAATCCCCCCCCCCCCTTGATCTGGCACTGGGTAATGATGACATAAAACTTTTTTTTGGTAGACGCATAGTTAGTAATGACCCAGGTTTTAGTGACTTTTTATTAACGTTGTGAAGTATTATTTCTGGAAGGTAATGCTTTTCACAAATAAACAGACTCTTACTTTCTATTTGAGCCTTCAATTTTATATCTTGAATACGATCTTTAAGAATAATGCCTATTAGATTTTTTCTCCAAGAAGTATTTAAACTATCGTTAGATGCAGGAATTTTAAATATTGAAACTCCCTTATGCCTCCTAGAAGTATTGCATCCAAAAATAGAACAATTAGTACCAGACATTTAAAGAATTGGATGAAGAAGATGCAATTTGAACAAGCAGTTCATATAAAAACAATCGAAGAAAATAAATTTTGTACACTCTGCAGTGGATTGGACACTAAAAAATTGCTAGCAAAGAGTTGATCAAAAGAATACCGCAAGTGGCCAGACTATCTATTTCTTATGACTATGTTTAAATGCAGAATTTTTTTAAAACTATTTAATTCCAGCGTGGCTTGTGGTCAAATGTGCATTTTCTAACCGTTGTTTTTTCATAATTTCAATAGGATTTGTTATGCTTAAGTTTTATAATTTAGTTAGAAAATCGACAATTTATTTATTTAGTTAATTTATTTAGTCAACGATTTTCAAGGCTGTTTACACTAAACTTTGATTTTTTGGTGACTTAAGTTATGATTTTCTTATTTTTAAAATTTTCTTTTTAAATTTTGAGATTTAATTTTTCTGTTGATAACAAGTAAAAATTAAAAAACGTGGGGGGAGGGGAAGGGGGTCCTTATAAGCTTAGGGTTGGTAGGAAAATTTTCAAAAAATTATAAAACGCCCCCCTCCCTCCCTCTTGTATTAATGAAAATAAAATATATTAAATCTGAAAAATATTAAATATATTATACTTAATGATTTTAAGTTTTAATAGACATTGTTTAGGATCGCTGATCAGACTTTTTCTGAAAGTAGTGTGGGAGATGATGCCTACTTAAAAAATAAGCATTTAATCGGTTGATGCTTACTTTTTATGGTCTTTACATTCCTAGGTTTTAATCGGTTCGATTTTTTGTCATAAAATCATTAAGTAATATAAGTATGAACATACGAAAATTAGATTTTTTAACTTACCCGGAAAAATTTTTTAACTTACCCGAACTTTCTATTTAAAAAATTTAATAGTAAGTTTACTTTTTAAGCCTTTAAATAGTAAAGTTCGGGTAAGTTAAAAAAATTTCCAGTGTTTCAAAAAAAAAAAAAATGAAAGCACTTTCAATTTTTTTTTGTATATACAAAAAAAGTTAAATGTTCAGTTTCAATTGGTGAAAATATTCATTTTGCGCTTTTTTAATAAATCCTTAAGCAAATATATATAGAAGTGTAATGATCAGTGCATCTAGTAATATCAATAATAATAAAATTAGTTTAATCTACTATAGTGTTTCTAACTTGTTATTTGTAATGCTTGATTATTAATTATCTATTTACTATTTACACTCTACTTCAAATATATGTTTATATGTTTATATATTTTTCATATACTTATATATGAAGATATATATGTATAAAAAAAATTATAAAATATTAAGGAACCACACGTTACAATGTAACGTCTCGTAAGGTTAAAAATGTTTCTTTTTGTTACGTAAAAATAACAGACAATTGATATGTAACAATACGTAAAAATGTTACGTCGCGTTACGTAAAAGTGCATACGTTACGTCTCGTTATGTAAACATGTTACGTAACAGTTTCGTAACATTATGTCTCATTACGTAAAAATACTACATCTCGTCACGTATGATTAACGGACATTTTGCACGTAATGTAATTTGGTTTTGTTACGTATCGAAACTTAAAAGTGTTATAGGGGTTATAAGATTATTATCTCTTTTTCGCACAAGCTATCTACATGATGTACAACATTGTTTATATTTCCAGTCAAACATTCCTGCCTATAATGTAATTTAAATTAAATGATAAAGTTAAAATAAAAAGATTTATGCACAAACTATTACATGTATAAATGTTACCTGCATGTCAGTAACATTTGTATTGAACAAGGCAGCAACAAATATAGTATTACATATAAATTGCCATTTTAGAAAAAAAAACTTACTTCTTTGTCTGAGCTGTCTGCATGATTTACAACATTACTTATATTGCCAGTCAAACCTGACTGGTGATAATGTAGTAGTTTAAAATGATAAAGTTAAAGTAAAAAGAGTTATGCCCATATATAAATGTTACCTGTATGTTAGTAACATTTATATAGAACAAGGAAGCAACAAATATATTATTACTACTTTTACACTATCAAGATTTACGTTCTTTATTAAAAGGTACAAAACTACAATGTAGTTTGGCACTAAAATTTATGATTCTCTATTTTGGCAAGTTTGATATCTTGAAATCAAAATGCGTGTTTCATCTTATTTGTGTATCATTTATATTGTTTTTACGTCATCATCTCTGTAATTGAAACCTTTGTTAATCTTCTAATTTTTTAGCCAGCATTTAAAAATTGTATTTTTTTAGGGTATTCTTTGGGTCTAGGATGGCTACCTTATCTGACAGTAGACGAAGATAAACTTAAAAAGCAGTTGAAGTACCAAGAAATTATGAGTCTTGATTTAAGTAAACCCAAGTATGAGCTTAATCTTTGGACAAAACTACGAGACGAGGCACGAGTTCTGCGAGACGAAGCACGAGTTTCACACAACAACGACTATAAGGTTTTATAAAAAGTATAATCGTCTTGCATAGAATATGTATATAATAACTTTAAGATTTTAACATTTTAAACCAATAATTTATTATGCGTGAACGTTTTATGCATTTTTTAACTTTTTAAAATAGAGTTTACCTCAAATTGTTTTATTACAAAATTAAAAAAACTGATTAGCTCTGTGTGTAAAGTTGTAAAAAGTCATAGTTTCATTCTAAAAAGAAACCAGTCGGGTTCTAGTTTTTTATATCTTTGGATGCAGTTTAATTCTGCATTAAAACCACACAGAAAAATCTAATTTATGCTAAGAGTTTTTCTAGCCTTTCTATATAAGCTATGTTTTTAAGATTAAACATTTGTTATTATCATTGTTTATTTTGATTTGAAATAAATTTACTTTGCGCTTCGGTGGAAAGAAAACGTTATAAACTCATATATAAAAATTATAAAAATTGAAAAATATCCTCATACCTGTAGTATTTTTATTTGTAGATCTTCCACTCATAACTTTGTTTTCAAAACTTTCGTTTGTTTAGTAGTTTTTGCGTATAGTTTGACCACTTTATATTAAAGATTTATTCTTTTATTGGGAAGTAAATATCGCGCAAGAACTTTGTCTTTTTTTGTACTTTGAAATAAAATGTAAATATATACATTGTTTTTAATTTATATATTTATGTATTTATTTGTAAATGGATTTGTATATTTTAAAGTTTGGTTCTTGTTACTAGTTTTTTACTTTTTTATTGTTCAACTCGCAATCGGGTGAGGTGGCGAATCGGCAGATTTGTAATAGGTGATCAGTCCTATTATAACAAAAAACAATAAAGGTATTTTTGGTTGAATGTTTGTCTCGGTTAAATTAGGGAAGTATAATTATGATTTAGCCGCATTGAAATGTTTTGGACCTATGCTTGTAAGTTTTTTGTTTTTTTTCATTAACAAAAGTAGTTTACTTTAGATACCATGATCGTCTGTACTCTAAGATTTATTAGAGTTAACGTTTATACTAACTGATAATATAAATTTTAATCAAAATAACGTAACGGCCATGTTTGAAACTTTATCATTTATAGGCATACTTCGCAGCTATGCTAGTTTGATTCGTTTTTACTACTACACACTACTTTGTAAATAATTACGATGTATATATCTTATCTTAGAAGTTAGGTATAGGGAATTTGGTAATTTAAATTTAAAAATTTTCAACCGTGTTATTATTAAAGCAAGAAAAACATTTTTAAAAACTCTAAAGAACACTCTGACTTCTCCAATTATTGTCCGATCAGTCCTCTTTGCATTATTAGCAATGTCGTTGCGTCTTCAATCAACAAATTTCTAACATCTCATCTTGAGTCTAATAACTTACTCTCTGATAATCAATATTAATTTTGATCTTCTCATTCTACTAACTTGCTGTAACTATTATATCGCGCATTAGATGTGGGAGGGGGCAGAGGAAAGGGCTATTGCTCTTGGCATTTCAAAATCATTCGATCAAGTTAGATAAGCTGATCTTCTTTATAAGCTTGCTTTATATGGTGTATCTGGTTTTTGAGATAATTAAATCATTTCAATATTATTGAATATATAATATATTTAATATTATATTTAATATATAATATATTAAATTATTATATATTAATATTAAATTATTTAATTTTAATATATAATATATAATATTATTTGAATATATAAATATTCAATAATATTGTATATATTCAAATAATATTTATTTGAATATATACAATATATATATATTTATTTTAATATTGTTAATTGATATAATTATATAAGTTAATTGATTCAATGTTATAATTTAAATCAAATCAATAATAAAGTCATCCTTAAAGGCCGACACTCTTCTTCATTTTCTGTAACTTCTGAGTTACTTCAAGGGTATTAGTCCTTGTCCTTAGTCCTGTATTGCTTCTTATTTACATTAATGTTATTTACTGGGCTTTCAGTGACTTGTCAACTTTAACTCAATTAATAAAACTCAGTTTTTTATAGCAAACAAACTTCTCGTGCTTGCCATTTTTTTACTCCTGATTCCATTCTCTACCTCTACAAATCTCTAATTCGTTTCTTTGTAGAATACTGTTGTCATATTTGGGCTGGTTATAAACAAATAGTTGCTATTTGAAATATTAGTCAAGATTATTATTATAGTCAGGATTATTATTAAAGCTATAAAAATTGTCTGAAATAATGTCTGTAATCGCTAACGTTGATATATTTATATAGGGGAAAGCGGGGCAATATGACGAATGAGGCTAGATGGGTTTGTTTTTTTTTTATATGTATATATTTCACCGTTTAAATATTGCTAAAATACCAAAATGTATAAATATTTACATGGCCGGTGCAAAAAGAAGACAAAAATAGTCTTATCAAAAAGAAGACAAAAATAGTCTTTTCATATAACAACTCAACAAAAAATCTTAAAGTTATGTGAAAACTACACTGTATTTGCATATTATTGCACTGTATTTAAATATTATTAGCGCAATTTTAAACGCATAAGTTTACTTTTTGCGCTTAAAAAAAATTCCTCACTTTCGGTATCTCATAATGGACGGTGTCCTTTAAGTTTAACTTCTTTAGAAGTACTTTTTTCGACTTGTGTTTATTTTGTGTTACTTTAGAGTTATTAGTAGTTTTTAAAATTTTATAAAAATGGAGGCAAAATGGCATAATAAGTCATCTTGCCCCGGTCGCGTGACCAGATGACAATTTTATGAACTTTTTATTTTAATATTTATTTTAAATAGTTATATTTGCCAACTGAAAATTCATGTAGGTAATGAATCATTTCAATAACATAAACATACTGAGAAAGTATTATTGCTTCACGACTGATAGTTTTGCAATAACTCGGGGCTTTCAAAACGTTCAAAAAAAAGGCATATTTTTAAGAGTGACAACTTTAAAAAAAAAAGATGGTTTTAACCCTTAATAACTCTTCCTCGTCCCCGCGGCTAGCCAAGGCCCTGCGGGTTCTTGGTTACGCTACTAGTTTTTCTAAAGCTTTTAACACTTTAAATCATTTCAATCTAATAAAAAAGCTAAAACATTACGAAATAAAAGAAAACAATACGAACACTATAAGAATATAAAACAACCAAAAAGAAATTAACTTGTTGAGTTCCATAGATTTCTACACTAGAATCTTTACTTTTCTTATTATACATAAATAATTTATCTCTAATATCGAACCTCTTAAGTTTTATCATCACACATCCGTTAATTTTTTTAGAACTAAATTTGATAAAAATTTATCATGAAAACTACAAATATCAACATATTTTAACTATATCAGGTTAATATTAGTTGTTAGCATTTAGCACGAAAATACATAAAAATACAGAATTAAAAAAATTTATTTTTTAATTTTCATGTAGATTTGTTTTGGGGTTTCAGATTATCTCTAAATATATTTTCTAAGTGATTTCTTTAAATTCTGCGCATAGCTTTGATATAATTTCACTTGTCCTTGTTAACAACTCTGACTAATTCTTAATATTGTTTACGAATTTTTTTAACTTCCATCTTTTATTTGCAATGCTTCAAATGCTTATGATATATGAGGTCGTCCATAAAGTACGTACGTTTTTTTTTTTGTGGACCCCCCCCTCCCCCCGCATTTTGCAATACGCTTTTTTGAAAACCCTCCACCTTCCTAAAAGAACCTACGCTTTTAACCTATATATCTAACATTTTATGATATATTTTTTAATTTAGTGTCTCCTTTCTTTTATAATTAGCCCTCGTGCCCTCCCATCTCATATACGCCATTTGCAGAACCCTCTTCCCCTCCGAGCGTATGTACTTTATGAACGGTCCCTAATGAAACAATATTAACTTTTGTTAAAAGTGGAATGTGATTGGTTAGCTTTAAATTATAATTATTACGCGATGTTTAATACAACTAAAAGCTGTTTTCCACAAGACGAAAATATTTTGCGCGAAGCGAATTTTTTCGTCGAGCAGATAAAACATTTCTGTCAAAATTAACAGAAATGTTTTATCTGCGCATACTTATCGACGCTCCGCGCAAATATTTTTGTCTTGTGGAAAACAGCCTTAAGACTGTTCTTTGAGAAATGACTTATTTTATCTTTGTTTCCCTCCAGTCTATTATACTTCCTTTTTCATTTTACAGTACCCAGAGGGCACAATCATCCGTAAAACGTCTATACGTCGTCTAGTATACGCCGCAAGTCTGTAATACCTCTTTAAGATGTCCAACAGGCCCAATTGGGTACTCGTTTACCCAGTGTGCATGGGACCTAACAAAAACTTTTGAGTGTTCACAAGACGTCCAAAAACGTTCTCAAGACATTCAAAACGTTGAAAAGACGTTTAAAAAACGTCTATTTCACGTCCCGTGCCCACTGGGTAGTATATCAAATATTGTTATTTTACGAAAACATTAATTTTGATGTCAAAGTTTTTTTTTAGAAATAAGCTATTATTAAACAAAGTTTACAAAGTTTATCAACTTAAAGCTGCTGGCTTTAGTTCTGACATTATAAAAAGTTTAACAACGACAAATCGATTATATCTCCAATAAAGTTTCTAAAAGTATTGGAGTTATAGATAAAGTTCGACATATGCTTCATAAATAACAAATAAAATAACTATATTATTTGTTTATCCCCTGCCATTTAAATAATGAAAATATTGTATAGAGAAGCACGCACAAAATTAAACTTAAATCTCTTTAACAGCATCACAAGCACGCAGCTCGCTTATTTAATTTTGTAAATCACTTTTCAAATTCAAAACTTCAAAACTTGAAATGAAAGACTTAAATGTATACGAACTAAATGTTTTTAATATTTTACGTTTCATGTTTAAATCTAAAAATTATTTATCTCCTGATGTTTTTATAAACCTTTAAAATGTAAAACCCATGAAAAAATGTAATCCTTGTAATGGAAAAAATCTACAAGAACCTTTCTGGCAAACTAAATTTGAACAACTATTTTTTCTTTTCGCAGTCCTTAGTTATGGAATAAAGTAGTTTTTGCCAAATTTTGATTTGTCTTTGAAATGGTGTTTAACTTCCTTCAAACAAAAATTTATAGAAGCTATCTTTTCAGCACAAAATATTTTTTCTTGTTTTTAGTTCTTTTGTTTCATATAATATATCCAGTATATTTATATTTTAAATGCACAATTATATATAGTTTATGTTGATTTATTTTTATTGGTAAATTTGATTTTATTATTATTGTTATATTATTATTATTATTATATTTTGTATAGTTAAGGGCTTCATGATAAGATCGAATGATCTTTTGGAAGTCCTTCTGAGGAAGTCTATCTGTAATAAAGCTTTTTTGTAACTGTATTTATTTTATTGAAGGCAAATAAATATTAAAAAAAAAAATGTTTAAAAAGTAATGGACTTGATAAAATAATATGTCGCTCTTAAATTAGCGACAACGCTGCTACTACTACTACTGGAAGATTACGGAGGTTTAGTTTATTCTGGAAAAACAAAAACAAAAACTAATTTTAATGGATATGTGGCACTATGAGCTAACTTACTGGGTGACGCTTACCCAAAAATTATAGACGTAATTGTCAAATATCCTGAATTTTCTTGGAAAACTCATAGAAAATTCTGAGAAATATTTAACGGATTTAGATGAGCTAAGAAAATAAAAATATTTTTAAACGGTTACGTCACGCCGTCGTATTTTGTCAAAGAATTTTCTTTCTTGCTTGATATTAAAAGTTATACAAATACAATTATAATTAGTTATACTATAAGATTAAAAAATTGGATTTTTATTTTAAATTAATTTGATATATTTTTTACAAAACATTGTTAAGTAATATTGTTGTAAAGTTTTCTGGAATTTACGTGTACATGGGTATCTTTTATCTAATATTTTTTTTCTTTTCTGTTGTTATAATGCTAGTTTTAACATTAAATTAATTTTAATAGTATTATAATACTATTATTTTTATTACTCCAACTTGTATTAATAATAAAAATTGGAGTAATAAAATAATAGTATTATAATATTATTAAAATTATTATATTTATCTCCATTTTGTTATTATTGAATTTGCTGGTTGTTTATTTCTGAAGAGTACATGATGCTATTTGTAAATATTCATGGTGTAACAACTTTATTGAGAATATATTTGTTTTGATTTGATTTAATTTGATATCTTAGTTCAACCAATCAAATTCAATCAATATTTTATTTTTAAAATAATTGTTTTTTGTTACATTGCTATGCTAATATATATATATATATATATATATATATATATATATATATATATATATATATATATATATATATATATATATATATATATATATATATATATATATATATATATATATATATATATATATATATATATATATATATATATATATATATATATATATATGTATATATATATATATATATATATATATATATATACATATATATATATATATATATATATTATATATATATATATATATATATATATATATATATATATATATATATATATATATATATATATATATATATATATATATATATTTATATATATATATATATTTATTTATTTATTTATTTATTTCATTCAGACAACAAGTACAGTACAAGGTCCATAATTAAGATAAAATAAAGTAATAATAATTAATTAAAAGTTCTGTTTAATCTATACACAGCTGCATTTCTGCTGGCATGGGTAACTGATTTATAAGGTTAAATTTGTAATTACACAATAAAGTATCTAGATTAAGCAAGCCTAGTACCATAAACATATTTGTAGCTCTTGAGTACTTGTCATATCCAAAAACATTTTGGCACATTTCTTGTAACAAGAGTTTAGCTTTAACATAGTATTTGCACTAAAATTAGTCCATAGAGCCACATCATAAAAACAGAGGCAGTAGGTCTTAAACAGCTGCACTTTTACCTTAATTGAGCATTTCTTGAATCGTCTGAATAATATGTTTGTACGCGTATAAAGATATTTATTCTCTTGATTTATACCAGCATTAAGAAACAAATCGTTTTATATTATGTGACCCAGATGTGACATATATGTATATATATATATATATATATATATATATATATATATATATATATATATATATATATATATATATATATATATATATGTATATATATATATATATATATATATATATATATATATATATATATATATATGTATATATATATATATATATATATATATATATATATATATATATATATATATATATATATATATAAATATATATATGTATATATATATATATATATATACAGGGCTTCTGACAAATAAAATCGTCAAGCGTGTTATATCGCGCTCGTAAAATTAAAATATGTTTTCATCAAGCGTGATTATGTGCGCTCGAGATAACGTCGACGAGCGCTATCATGAAAATTGCTGAAGAAGATCTTTTTTTATTTGTTACATCATTCTTTCGTCAACAAATGTTATAATTAGTAGCACACTCATGAAATAACACTCTTGTATATTGTTAGATCGGGATTTTTTTTTAACTATTTATGTTATAAAAAAAAATATATCAAGCAAAAACGCAACTTCTTGTTGATTTAGTATTGAAGTATAATTTTTATTTTTTATAAGAAACCAATCAAACGGTTTGTACTAAAAAGTTTCTAATTTTGAGCATACTTTTTTCTAAATCTAGTAGTAAAAGTTTATTAAAAGTTTCTTTAATTTCAAGTTTTTATTCCTAATCAAATTCAATTCAATTCGATTGTGCGTGGAAATTAAATTCTCATTGTAACTGTTGTTCTCCATCGTAGATAATATTAACTTCGATGAGATATTTAGGTGAAAAATGAGCAAATACTCATCAAACTTATAAATAAGTTTCTTATTGAAAAGTTACTTAGTACTAAAAATTTCTTAAAATTTTAAGGCTCCTTGTACTAATTCTTATTAAAAAAAACGTGTAATTTTTAATGTTACAGTTGAATGAATAATAAAAGAAAAGAGTTAACAAACTTTAATTAATGCAACGTTAGTTTCATCTGTGTCATTAAAAAAAGAACTTTGAAAAAAAAAAGAACACTGTTGCTCAAAAAATAGTTTGTTCTTAGTTTAATCAAGTTTTTTTAGGTTTAATTTTTTTCTTTTGTTGACAAACTTTTTTTAGGTTATTATTTTTTTTATTTTTCTTATAGTTTAGTTTAATTTTTTCAGCACATTTTAAAATAATTAAATATCAACATTTAACATAAACATCATCAAGCATTTGCAAATGTGTAAATGCTTAATAGCCAAATCATCAAAACGAAATATGAGGCGCCTCACAGGAAAAGATAAAAAGTGAAAAAAAGTTAACGAGTGAAAAAAAGTTAACAAGATAATATATTATCTTTGAAATCTTTGTTGTTAAGATAATAATTTATTAGTTACCTTTGAGGATTTTGTATTTTGTATTTCATTGGTTGACCTAACACATCGCTCATTTAAGGGTTTCTCGCTTTCACACCTTATTGCAGTAAGGTAAGAAGCTGATTCCAAATGTCTTTGAATTGTGTGGATCGACACAAAGTTCGTCCCATCAATAAACCGTAAAGCATATTGTCGTATCAAACTTTTACAACCTTGTAATACCGCTTCTCTATTTCTTGTACAAACTTTGCAGTAAATTTCAACAACATATGTAGTTCCGCTGGTAACTTCAGTTCTAAAGCCTATTACCTCTTGAACTTTCCATTTAATAAATGTTGACAACATTACTTTGTTTCCTTTTGGAATGTCATTGATTGCGGACATTCCAAACAACAGAATCGTTTTAAATTTGAGTTAAAATAAATAAAAGTTAATAAAAAACTTATACTATAAACAAAAACTAATTTAAAAAATTACTGAATTATTATTATTTATTTTTATTTTAAATGATGTATGGAATATTACAAACAATAAATCAAATAAATCTTACTTGATGTTTTCACAAGATTAAAAATATTCTGCAGTTTCAATTTTCTTATAATGGTTTTCTAATTTTTTATTATTTTATTTGTGCATTTTTGTTTTTGCATTGAATTTCTACATGCCCATTTCATCAATGAAATTAGTGCCTATTAACGACTTCAAACTGCTCATTCATTAGGTTAGTGCAAAAAAGAACGACGTAGTGCTTTTTTTATTTTATATTATATTAGTGTTCGATAATATAAAATCTTTATTAAAAAATCTTTTTTTCATATTTTATGAAAATAAAAAAAAAAGTTATTATTTGTTTTGCCCCGAACTCTTGGGCGAGCGTTATTTTATACGCTCGTTATAAGCTGAACGAGCGTTGTTTATCGCGCCTGGAACGTTTCAAAATACCATTTACGGGCGCGTTTCACGAGCGCTCGATTCATCACAAGCCCTGTATATATATTAGGGTGCGTCATTTTTCAACAATTTTTTCAAACTAAATCCCAACCACCTGGATTAGTTGACCGGTTGGATAAAAATGATTTTATGCTAAAAAATTGTTGAAACCCATTTTTAAGGTCCCTGCTTTTACATTTTGTGCCCCAAAACCCCAACTTTTTAAACTAAAAAGCGGGGACCTTAAACATTGACATAAAACACCAATTTTTTTTCTATGAACTCAAAAAGATTAAAATACTAATTTGAAATTGGTTGAGAAGTTTACAATAAAAAAATATATACTAATTTAGGTCAAGAAAAGTAGCTCAAAATGCATTAAGTATAATTTTTAAGTATATTTAAATAGAATGACGCTTGCAATCAAATTATACTCACGCGTGTCACAAACAAAAACAATCTTTCTTTTTTGAACTATTTGTTCTAATCAAATTAACTCAGACGTCTGTTAGACAAAAATACTCCTACCAAAAATTTGATTAGTTGTGCTTCCCAAGATGAAATGATGTCAACATGCTCTAAACTAGCAATATTTCCTCAGATCTGCATCCTTTTTACTCTAAAGAAACTGTGTATTGATGGAGGATATGACAACGGCATATTTTATGACAAACATATCAAAGTTGAAAAAAAATAAAAAAAAAAAAGACAACGCAGCAGAATTTGCCAGAAACATCTTTAAAAAAAATGCTAAGAAAGTTTTTTGGATTGGAAAACCTGATATTTGCTCCATTTTGAAGAAGAAACATGGAAACAACCTAGATTCATAAAATTCAGATAAGCAATTTTTAAATGATCTAATGACGAAATGTAAAATGACACTTGGTTCAAGGGATTTAGCATATTGCCAAAAGCTGGAAAAAATAGAAGAAAGAAGATTGCGATATTTAACATTTATTGAGCAACAAGAGGATCAAACTGAGAAAATTGAGTTTTTATTATCAAAACAAAGTGAGGTCTCTTCTTGTCATGATTCTGACTATTCAGCAGACAAAATTAAATCAGGTACTAGTGCTTCAACAGTATTACCTAAAAAAATTGGAAAAGAAGTTGCAATTACAGGTTTTTCTGAAAATATTTCACCTAGAAACAAGATGCATTTGCTCTCAGACATAGTAGTTACTTCTGGGGGCAGTTTGACAGATTTCTCGCTTTCTGACTCTACTATCAGGCGTGCAAAAAAGAAAGCAATAAGTACAAGTGCAGCTAAATATCGAGAAGATATAATAAAAGCTGCTAGTCAAATTAAATCTCCAATAATTGCACACTTTGATAGAAAAGTCTTGCAGGATATTACTAATGGTACAAAACAAAAAAGAGATCATTTTGCTGTTCTTGTAAATATCGATGGTGATTTAAGACTTTGCATTTCGCCAATGGAAAATGGTATTGGAAAATCTCATCATGATACTTTAATAAACATTTTGTATGAATATCAGTTAAGAACATATATAAAAGGTCCTGTATTAGTTGCAGTTGTGACACAACTGCAACTAATACAGGAAAATATTCTGGCACAAACATTAGGTTTTGTCAAACACAGGGTTCAATTGTATTACAGCTTGCATGTCAAAGACATTTTTATAAGCTTCACTGTAAACATTTTTGGAAAAAAGTTCACATTGGTAAAACTTATGCTTCTGAAAATCTGATTTTCAAAGTTTTCCAAGCTAATTGGAATGCAACAAAGGAAACTATGGATATATCAAAGTTCAAAAAGTTTGACAAAGCTGCAGTTAAAGGAACGTATCTAGAAAAACAGATCGAAAAAACTGTTCAATTTTGCAAATATGCACTTGCCAATTCAGTATTTCCAAGAGGTGATTATAAAGAACTAGTAGAACTTACACTCACCTAATTATGTCCAGATGTAAGCTTTAATGTTTATGCCTATATATTTTATGTCTATATATTATTTTAAAACTCAAGTTTTAAGTAATCAGTTACCCTACCAATTGACAGCTTGTCTACAAAAAGAAATCAGTAAAATGGTAGAATTTTTTTCTATATATTATACTGTGTGGTTTGTGCGTTCCTCTTTAGTTTCCTCTGCACCTTATCAAGATTTAAATGCATACTGGCAGATGGTCCAGTATAAACATTGGGTAGAATCTTTTGATCCAGGAGCTAATGATGTACTAGAGGGAATTGAAGAAGTATTGAAATCAATGGAGAGACATGTGATATTTGGATCAAACCTTGATTCCATTATGTCTTGCAGAAAGATGATGAAAAAGAAAAAGTTGCAAAAGTTCTTTCTCGCAACCTGTTCCTACTCACTATGAGAAGTCTGAAAATCCAATCCTTCTGAGAGA